AATACCAGGAAATCTCCAGGCCCCACCTGGAGGCTGGCAGCCCTAGGTGGGGCCCACTGCCTCTCATCTGCACCGTGCACCTCCCCTGTCTGTACCTGTTGTTCGAATGGCCTAGCGTTGTTGAAGAAGGGCACGTGGGTGGTTCCAAATGACGCACTCCCAGTTGCAAAGGCAGCAGCACTCCCCCAAAGGGTACACTGGCCAGTGCTGTTGGGGGAAAGGCACACAGGCAGGGAAGGCAACTGGGCATGGGCGGTGGGAGGCTTGTAGTGGGAGAAGAAGGCACAGGTAAATAGGGGCATGCAGCAGCAGAGGGGGCCCGGGGGTGGGTGGGTTCCCTGAGCACTGTCGCCCCCCCAACACCTGCAACCAGCTCTAAGTAGCCCCGTTCACAAATTACAGTGAACGCATGTACACTCTCACGTACAGCATACACTCGACCCAGAGAGCACTGCGATCAGGATCCCAAAACCGCCTGGACCTCCCTGGCCCAAAGGAAGTCAGGTTGATGGCAACCAGGACGAGGGCTTTTTCGTTTGTAGCTCCGTCCTATTGGAACGAGTTTCCTGCCGAGATCAGGGCCTTGCGGGACTTGTCACGGTTCCGCAGGGCCGTGAAAACAGAGCTTTTAAGGCAGGCGTTCCGCTAGGAGCGACGTCCTACCAGCAGCGCCGTGTGAACTCCAATCCAACACGACCTATCGCGGGTGGCACCGCTGAATGCGTCCCTAAACTGCGCTTTGTTTTTATCGCCATCGAATGAATGTTTTATATTGACTTGTCTATGTTTTTAAATGATGTATTTTATTCTATCACTGTAAAATGTATACCGTTTATCGGTTTTTGGAAGCCGCCCTGAGCCCGCCTGGCGGGGAGGGCGGGGTAAAAGTGAAATAAATAAATAAGTGGAGTAATTCTCACATTATGCTCAACACACCTCCAGCTGAACTTGTGAATGAAACCCCACGTTCACCCAGGGACTGGTCCCTCATTTGGTTCGTAAAATGAACGTGGGTTGGCCCTTTCCTACACACAGGCGCACACACGTACGTGCAGGTTGTCTTTGTGTTCGCTGTAACACGCGAACAGGGCTAGAGGGATCGGGGAGACCGAAGTTCAAAGCCTGCCTCAGCCATGAAGTTCATTGGGTGACCTTGGGCCAGTCACATTGTCTTGGCCTACCCCGCAGGGGGAATAAAATCGAGGAACAAAGACCCACGTGTATCACCCTAAGCTGCTTGGAGGAAGGAAGGGATAAAAATGAGATAGATAACGATCATAAGTGTTGTAAATGCTAGGCAGAACTAGGTGCTGGACACAGGGATACCACCAGGGGTCGTTTCGTAGAAAAAGAGCCTGGGGAACTCATTAGCATAACTCATTAGCATATGCCACACCCCCTGACATCACCGGAAGTGTGTCATGAGGCCACACACCCCTGACATCACCGGAAGTGTGTCATAAGGCCACACCCACCGCTCAGTTAGTCTTAGTCTTAAAGGTGCTATTTGTTAGTCTTAAAGGTGCTATTTGAACTCTTGGACTATTTTGCAGCAACAGACTAACACAGCTACCTCGGGGAAGCTCCTGGATGGGGCTGGGAGTCCTTGCGGAGGCCACGTGGAGTGGCCTCGGCCAGGCAGAGGGGGAGGACGCCAACTTACCCTCCTGTTTCTTCCTCCTTCTGCAACAGAATGAGGCTGGAAGAAGGGGGCGGCCGGAAGAAGGGGCGGGGCTTCGTCGTGTGCCCTGCCCCCCTGCACCTCACCCGGGGGAACTGCGATCCCCCCCGAAATGACCTCTGGATACCACTGAAAATGGCAGCTCCGGGTTTTCTCTCCCTCAAAACACACATAGGAATCCTTAGACGTGTCACTACTTTTTTGCCTGTGCCGAGAGGTAGAGAGGGAAGGTACGCTGTCACGGCATGCATAAGAATCCCTAAACGGTTACGCAGAGGCAGAAAGAACTTCACCCGGGCCTGCTTTCCTCCGCGGCTTCGAATCTTCCCTACAGATCATCTCATTACAACGGCCCTGCAAGGTAGGGAAGGATATCTTCACAGAGCAGGCGGAGAGCTGAGCCGGAGAGATAGCGGCTCGCCGCAGGCCGCCCGCTGAGTTCGTTGCTGAGGCGAGAATTCAAGCCAGGATTTCTCAGCTCAGCGTTCCCACCGCTAGCCACTAAATTATGCAACGCCGCACAGACACACCATGCTTGCGCACAAACACGCTTAAAAAAAAAAAAAAGAGTCCCCAACCTATTCAGGCTTGGTGGGGAAGAGAAGAGAAACGGATATTATCCTGGCTCAGAAATGTAGTCACCTTTATAATATTCACGCCGGTGATGCTTCTTGGGGAGGGAGAGTAGTTTGTATTTAAGGAACAAAAAAACTCTGGAGGGACTACAAAAACTCCCATAAACCCTGCTTTGCCCATAAGATAAGTAACCATTTCTATCACTCATCACAAGGATAAGGCTGGGAACTGAATTTTCAGTACCTGATATAGAGGACAGACCACCCGACTCTGCTGTTTGTGACTTGTTTGGATTCCTAATGATTTTGTACAGGGCTTTTTTGTAGAAAAAGCCCAGCATGAACTCATTAGCATAATAGGCCACACCCAACAAAAGAAACTAATTAGCATATTAGGCCACACCCAACACCACAGCTCATTAGCGTATTAGGCCACACACACACCCCATGCCGTCCCTTGTCTTGCCTGGGTGCCCCGCGGCTGTGGGGAGCCCAGGCAAGCCCCCCCTTGAGGGGAAGGGAAGGCAGTTTAAACTGCCTTCCCTTGGTTTGCCCGGGTGCCCAGCGGCTGCGAGGCGCCCGGGCAAGCCGGCCCTTGGACAGGCTGCGGAAGGCACAGGGAGGCATTTAAATCCCTCCCCGATCCTTCCAGGGGCCCCCCTGGCTTGCCCACCTCAGAATCGCTGGGGGGGGGTGTCGCTCTCCAGGCCTTCCCTCTGTAGCCAGGCACGCAGAGCTTTTGGCTGTAGTGGGCGTGGCCGGAACTCCGTCCCTGTGCGTTCTTGCCCCCAAATAGCCCTGATTTTTAGAAAGTTGTGATAGGCCAGGGTTCCCCAATCCTTTTGAGCTTGCAGGGCACCTTTAGAATTCTGACAGCACGCTGGGCGCGACTGCAAAATGGCTGTCTCAAAATGGCTGCCACAAGAGGTGGAACTAGGGTTGCCCGCCCTCAGGTCCCAGCGGGGTTTCTCCCACTTTTGGAGGCCTCGATCCGCTGCCGACCAGCTAGCTGGAGGGGAAAACCCCACCCACAAACAGGGACATTGTCGCATGACATCCCGCCCACCCCCAGAACGGCCCCCAAATCCCCCCACTACGATGGTGAGGGGACTTGGCAACCCTAGGTGAAGCCAGCCACAAAATGGCTGCCGCAGCTTACCTTCAGTCACACAGTGAAGACCCTCTTGCTGCGCCGGCAGCTCCTGCAGTCTACATGGCCAATCAAACCTGCAGTGGCCAATGAGCCCCACCTGGCCCTGTCTGCTTTCTAAAAACACTTGGCAGGGGCCAAGAAAGGTGTTGGCAGGCGCCCAGGCATCCATGAAAACCATGCTGAGGGCCCCGGTGGCTGGCAAACTCACCGGATAATCCACAGAATGTTCAAAAGTAAATCCATTCCCCCCCACCCCAATGAATTGGGGGGTCTGGTATAACCCTGCCTGTTCCCTCAGGTGTACAAAAACACCCCCAGAAGACTCAACACATCCTGTACTGTTTTGATGAAGGTTAGGCCCTTTGCACCTCTTCCCAAAGACAGAAATGTAGGGGAGACTCCTGCCAGGGAGGCCACAAGGCGATGAAGGCATTGGATTAGGGCTGGCAGGCGGGGGGCTCCAGGCTCCTTTCCTGGATCTTCTTTTGCACGCATGAAGCACTTCCACCACGATAAAATCACCCGGAAGTGACATCATTGGGCTAGGCAGGTCACCAGGGGAGGGGGGGCGTTCTAGTGTTTGACCAAAACTACCATAGAGTTTTTGGCCAAATGCTAGAGTGTCCCCCTGCAACATGCCTGATGTGATGACGTCACCTCTGGGCACGTTGGAGCCATGGAGCTATTCGGGATTGAGGCTCCCCACACCGGCCAGCTGGCCGGCGGGTGGATCAGGGCCCCCCAAAATTGGGGGAACCCCCACCCCCATGGGGGGGATGGCAGACCTACACTGCATAGTCCTGCACATATATGGAGTACATGTCGAAAAGCAATTTTTCTCTGGGCCAGTTTGGCCAGGGATCCTGCAGGGTTTCTGCCAACTTCTGGGCACGGAGCAGGGGTCACTGGGTGTGTCTTGGGGGGGGGGGGTTGTGAATTTCAAGCATTGTGCAGGGGGTTGGACTAGATGACCCTGGAGGTCCCTTCCAACTCTATGATTCTAACATCCCAGGGAAGGTGTATAATGCGGCTCACTTGCTGGAGTTAAGCAGATCTGGGTTGAGTCAGTACCTGGCTGGGAGATCCTATGCATGGCTGGGAGATCCTATGCATTCCTCATTGAGTTCCATCATCATCATCATCATCATCATCATCATCATCTCTGTGGTTGGTAATCAATGGCCTCCACACCTATGATGCTAATCGGTGTATTTAGGATTGCTGTCCTCCAAGTGTGGTCTGGAGAGCTCCTAGAATTACAACTGACCTGTGGGCTACAGAGATCAGTTCCCTTGAAGAAAATGGCTGATTTGGAGGGTGGGCTCTGCAAAGATCCCTCCCTTCCCCAAACCCTGGCCTCCCCAGGCCCCACCCCCAAATATCCAGGAATTTCCCAAACCGAGTTGGCAATAGGGTTGCCAAGTGGAACTTACTTTGCCGGCGGGGGACTCCATGAGGATCCCGGCGCGTGGGCGCGTGCGAAGCAGGCGCGTGCCGCATACTCATCACAGGGAAGTGAAGTCATGACTCTGAGCGTGCCCGGCGTCATAACGTCACTTCCCTGTGACGTGCACGCTGGGGCAGGGTTCCCCCCTGGGGCCTGGCGTCGGGGAACGGGCCTCTGGGGTGGGGGGATTTCCGCCCCCCGGGGGGACTTGGCAGCCCTAGCTGGCAACCCTACAGGTATTGCTCATTTGTAAACATGCAAGACCTTTGCAGAATCTTGTGCTCCCCCCACCACCAGTACATATTAGACCTTCTCTACCACCACTCTCCTTTGGTAATGTCAAGAACACTAGAAGATCCCTGCTGGATCAGATAAGTGGTCCATCTGGTCCAACATCCTGTTTCACACAGCGGCCAACCAGTTGCCCCGGAGAGCCAACAGACAGGACATAGAGGAAAGGCCTTCACTTGCTGCCGCCTCCTAGAATCCGTACTCAGGCATTTGTTGCCCCTGTAGATGGAGGCTCCCTTTAATCACCATGGCCTTTGATGGACCTCTCCTCCACAAATCTGTCTAGCGCCCTTCCAAAACCATCTACCCCAGTGGCCATCTGTATGGCCACTGGCAGTAAATTCCATAATTTAATTACCTGCTGAGTAAAGACTTTCCTTTGTGTCTGTCCTGAACGTATTGTTTATCAACTTCATCGGGTGCACTTGAGTTCTAGCATTATGGGAGAGAGAGGGGGAGGAAAAGTTATCTCTCTCCACTTCACGCTATCTTTCTTCTAGACCCGGGGTCCCCAACATGACAGGATCCATGGCGCCTGCCGACACCCTTCTTGCCACCTGCCAAGTGTTTTTAGAAAGTGGGCACGGCCAGGTGGGTCTTCTGCCCAGCAAGGCTTCTGATTGGCCACTGGAGATTTGATTAGTGGTACAGATATATATATATTTAAAAATAGTTTTGACAGTACCTGCCCCCACTGCACAAGGATCTTCCTTGTGTGACTGAAGGAAAACTTGCAGCAGCCATTTTGTGCTTGTCTCTGCCTCCTGCAGCAGCCATTTTCTGGCTGCACCCACCATGCTGACCCAGAATTCCAAAAGTACTCACTAGGCTTCTCCCCGTCGCGGATCAGCTGGCCGGTGGGGAAAACCCTGCCCCTAAACAGGGACATCTCTGTGTGACATCCCCAACACAATGCCGTCTCCCGGAAGTGACACCATCGCGTTGGAGATGTCGCATGGGGATGCTCTGGTATTTGGGCAAATTCTATGGTTTGAGGGCAAGGAAACCATAGAGTTTCTCCCAAATACCAGAGTGTTCCCCGTGTGACATCCCTGACACAATGATGTCACTTCCGGGTGACGTCATTGTGTTGGGGATGTTGTGTGATGTCCTCGCCCCCCCCAATCCTCTGCCGGAGCGAATACGGGACCTATCAACCCTAGTGCCCATAAGAAGAAGAGATTGAATTTATACCCCACCCTTCACTACCCAAAGGTGTCTCAGAGCGGCTTAC